CCGCGCCCCAGCGCCTGCAGGGAGCCCCTCCTTGGGAGGGGGAGTCTGTGTCGGGGGAGTGAGGACCTGATTTGGGAATCTGCGCCTGCTGCCTTGTTGAAGGACAATCAAAGGTAGCAGAAGGGCTTTGGCGTTCTGCGATTTGTTACAGCGATGCTAAAATTATGAGAGATTTGCCCAGTTCACAACCGCTGTGAAAATAGCTTTAATGTGGTAATTCATCATTTCGTAGTATATCAATTAGTGCAAATTCTCTGCTGTATTTATAACTTATGAACATGGTGTTCTGTTTAGAAGTCATTTGATTATTTCCAGTTTGTTATGAGGATACTTGGATGCGTTAGATTTTCATGCTGCCTTTTTACAGTGAATCAATGTGGTATTTAGAGCTCCATTTATTACACAGGTCGGACTCGGATAGTTGTGTACGTTTTATGCTGGGTTTTTTAATATACATAAAAATCTCAGTTCTCTCACCTACAAATAAAGCTGTATATTTATGGATGTTCTAAAGACTATGAATGTAAGGCTTGTTATTTTCAAGTATGAAAAGGAACTGCTTGCAAAAGTGGAAAAAATGTTGAAATTATTAATATCTAGGGGGAAATGGTGATTGACAAAGGACCTTTTCAAATAAGATTCATGCTTCAGAGCAGCAGCGGAAGTATGAAACTTGCAGAAAGAGACATAAGCGTTACTATAGCTGTGGCATTTTTCCATGCTAATGAAGAAAAAGAGGCTTCCCGTTATTTTTTTTAATGGTACCTAAACTGGTTCATTTGAATTAGCTACATCCGCATGCGTTTTGTTTAGATTTATGTGCATCAGGTGTAATATTACTACAATCAATGTGAGTTATGAGGCCCAGCGCTCCCATTACCGAGATTCATGTGCTCCAGTCGTCTCCTAAAACACCGGAGTGGATCCAGCGGGGCTGGCGAATGCAGATTTCTGGGACTTGAGTGCCCTCTACTGAAACAGTCCCTGCTAGCCCTTAGCTTTGACACCCAGCAGCTTGATTGATGGGCTGCGAAATTAAATTGGAGCCTGCGGTTCACAGGTTCACCCGTTATGAAGAATCCCGCCTTTCCTTCCTCTCCTGCCTGATCGCGCACCCGCTTCTTCTCCCTTCTCTTCTCGTACTGGTTTTCATTCTGACTCCTCCTGCAGCTGTGCATACGCCACAGTAGAATTTCTTTTTTTTTAAATGGCAAGTTTAGATGCAATAAGGATTCCTTCTGAAATTATCGTCAGGGGAGCTGTGAGCGCACTGGCGGGCGCCGGGGCTGCGTGGGGCTGCGCGTGGCAGTGCCCGCGGGGAGCAGCCGCCTCTGCCCGAGGAGCTTGGGTCCCTTTGGTGCTTTGCTCCTCCGCGGGGCATTCGGTCCTTGCGAGCAGCCGGGATGAGGTGTCGGTGCCACCCGCGCTCTGGGAGCTCTTGCAAAAGCAAACAGCAAGAAACCGCGTTTGCCCCCGCAAACTTATTGTAATTTTGTGTTAGATTTTGCTTGTTGGGGGGAAGAGGAAAAATCTCCACTTCCTACTCCGCATTTCATCTGTGATGGGGAAAAGCGTTGTGTTTCCCCGTGCTTCGCCCACAGCCCAGGCAGGGGCTTCTGGTGCCGCAGCAGAGTGATGCTCCGCTCTCTGCAGGGCCGGAGGCACCGGGCGGTTCTGCCGTCCCCTCCACGGGGTGGGGGACCGAAGGGGTGGGGGGACTGCGGAAAATGCCAGAAACCGCCCGCGTGTTGTACCACGTGGTGCCGGACAGAGGATTTGAATGTCTGGAGATTTCCCACTTCTTAGATTTGTATCAGGTTTATTCCCTCCGACTGATTTCATGCAGGCTCGCCGGGGAAGCGTGTTTTGCAGCGCGGTCTGTGCTGACCCACGGCGAGGCGGGGGGGTGGGCAGGGAAATGAGGTTTTTTCTGCAATCTGTGTTACAGAGTAATACTCCTCGAAGAATTGTTGCTGCACTACACTGCATATATTTGTGTTGGAACATACTGTGGTGTAATAGCTGGTTTGAAATGTATCCAGTTCTGCTGCATATATTATCGTGGAAGTCGGGCGAACGCGAGCTCCTGTCAAACCAGAGCAGAAACGCTCTGCAGAAACTGTGCAAACGAGGAGGGAGTTGGGACCAACTGCTGCTCTGCTCTCCGTGCGCAGGGATGCTGGCGGGCGGCCGGTGCTGCAAAACTCTGATCGCAGCCGTGTGCGGGGCCCGAGTGACGGAGCAGAGCAGAGGGCTGCTCGGCTGCGGCTGTGCGGCAGTTGGGATCCCACGCCT